AGAGAGAGAGAGAGTACCTGTAATTTGCTGTAGGTGCCGGTGGAAATACCTTGAAGGTGGAGAGTCCAAACAGGCACATTGTTAAACTGTAAAAGACTAAAAGTGCAAAGACATTTTAACTTAAAAGTTAAAATATTTTACCTTATAAGAGAGATATAGAGATATTTTAACTTTAAAGTTAGAACGCCTTTGCACTTTTAGTCTTTTACAGTTTTACAGCATGCCGGTTTGCATTCTCCACCTTCAAGGTCTTAACAGCGGCCCTTGCAACACATTACAGGCTCTCTCTCTCTCTCTTCTCCTAAATGTTAAGTCACGTGCAGCTACGCCCTAATTTTGGGCTTCCCAAATACCCAAACATTGCCCTAATTTTCGGCTCCCAAAGACCCAAACGGTTCCCAAATTTTTCCATGACTGAAAAATTCTCTATCTCAACTTTTTTGCCCCAACATTGTGCCATGATATTAGGTATTCCCAAAATTTGCCCTAATTTTTGGTTTTCTCATACTATGCCCAAATTTTGGGCTTCTTTCGGTTTCTATCTAAATTGTTTTTGCACCATTGATAAATACGTTAAATTGATGTGCTTAATCTACTTGTTTGGCATGTATGTATCTTTATTAAGTTTGTGCATCTTGTACAATTTTTTGTTTTTATATTATATATGGATGTTGCCAAATGGATTGATCTCATCAAGCCACTGTTGTCAAATGGATGTTAATAACTTCAACTCATGGATAATAATCAACTTTTTTTTCATCACCACTATAGAGTTTATTAACATCCTTTTTTATTTTCTTTCTGCATATTAGAAATGGATGTTGTGAAATGGATTGAACTCATCAAGCCATTGTTGTCAAATAGATGTTAATAAACTCAACTCATGAAGAATTATCAAATATTTTTTCCTTACTGAGTTTATTAATATCTTTTTGTTATGCATTCTATAAATGAATGTTGTTAAATGGATTGATCTCATCAAGCCATTGTTATCAAATGGATGTTAATAAACTCACTCATGAAGAATCATCAAATTTTTTTCATTGCCATTGTTGAGTTTATGAACATATTTTTTTTGTTTTGCATATTATAACCATATTTAAATTTTTTTTTTTGGATTTTTTAGTTCAAACGTTAAGACTGTTAAAAATGTAAAACTACTAGTTTCTAGAATATTTTAATTTAGTGTGAGAGTCATGGCAGGCTCTGGATCAACTCATCAGTAGGGATAGCAGGGTTTAGATCCTCAGACCCTGCATGGGAATATGCAAAGGTAATTCCTGGGGTTCTAAACCAGTTCACATGCATTTTTTGTGGTAGATGAATTAAAGGGTCTGGTATATTTCGATTAAAACAACATCTTGCTAGAGTGCAAGGTAATGTTGCACCTTGTAAGAAGTTACATCAGATGTTAAATGGCAAACACAGCAAGCTTTGGATGAAATTAATTCTCAAAAGCAAAAGAGCCAAAGAGTAATCCTTACGCACCCCAAACAATTGGGGAAGGTGAATAGTTCGATTACGAAGAATATGAAGGGATTGAAAATGGTGTTTGCTACTATACAAAGTAATGTAGTTCAAGGGAGAGGAAATGAGAGAGGTGGTGGTAGAGGTAGTGTTGTTGGAAAGAAGGGAGGAATGAGGGGCTATTTTACCCCTTGGGACACACCTGGGGCACAAACAAGCATAAAAAATGCTTTGGCTTCTAAATTAATTGTTGAGCAAGCAGACATGGCTGTAGCTCGATTTATGTATGACATTGCTATGCCATTTAATGCAGCAAATTACACTATTTCCAACCGATGACTGATGCAATAGCTGTCCTTGGTCCTGGTTATAAAAAGCCAAGTTATCATGACCTAAGGTGCAAGCTTTTGCAAAAGAATGTGAATGGGGTCAATGGATTTTTTTTTATGAATACAGGGAGTCATGGAAAACATCAGGATGTTCAGTTATGGCAAATGGGTGGCTAGATAGAGCAAACCAAATTTTGATCAATTTTTTGGTTTATTGTCCCAAGGGTACAATGTTTATCAAGTCTGTGGATGCTTCTGATGTATCAAAAACTACTGGGCTTCTTTGCGGTTTGTTTGATGATGTTGTCAAAATAGTTGGTCCTCAATATGTGGTTCAATTCATAACTGATAACACAACAAATTACAGGGCAGTTGGACTAATGTCGGCTGGGAAGTACAAAACCATGTATTGGATGACATGTGCTGGCCATTGTATGGATTCGATTTTTGAGGATATAGGAAATCCGGATAAATGTCCAAAAGATTTTCAATTTTGGGATATTGAAGAGGTCCTAAAGTTGGTGAGAAAAAGAAAAGTTGCAAAATATATCTACAATTACACATTGGTTTTGAGCATGATGCGGCGCGATTGTGGAAGGGAGTTGATTCGCCCAGTTATTACACATTTTGCCACCAGCTTCCTTAGTTTAGAAAGCCTGTTGAAATCAAAGTTTCCCATAGGAAAATGTTTACTTCTGAGGAATGGGTCACAACATCCAAAAACGAGGGCCGAGAATGAGGTCTCAGAGATAGTTTTTTATTCTTTCTTTTGGAAGCATTGTGAGCATGTGGTAGATGTAATTGAGCCACTAGTCAGAGTTTTACGCCTAGCTGATAGTGCAGAGAGGCCCTCATTGGGTACTTTTATGAGGTAATGGATAGGGCTATAAATGAAATATAGTGTAGGCTTGAAAACAGGAAATCTCTATACGAACATTATCTTAAAATTATTATGATAGGTGGCAATCTCAACTTTATTACCCCTACATGCAGCAGGCTTCTATTTTAACGCAATTATTTCCTTCAAGCATATCCCTCTAAGCAATCAAAGGTGACAACAAGATTGGTTCATGTCTTTGAAAGGCTTGTACATGATGAATATGTCCAAAACAAAATCAATATGCAATGTGAAGAGTATCGCACAGCAAGTGGTAATTTGGTTTGCCGATGGCAATCTGTAGCTGCTCCACACTAAGTCTAGGTAAAATTCCTATCTTGATTTCTTTCTAATTATTTATTTTAGTGCCTTTGATTGTACATTTCATATTTATGATTAACTTTTGCAGTTGCATGGTGGTTTCAATTTGGCAACCAATGTCGTGAATTACAATGCTTTGCTATTAAAGGGTTGAGCCAAACTTGTACCGCTACCGGTTGCGAAAGGAATTGGAGTGTTTTTTAGCGGATCCACAAAAAGAAGAGGAATAAACTAGAACATAAGTGATTCAGTGATCCAGTCCTTGTCCAATACAATTTGAAGCTACAAGCAAGGTAACTTGGACAATTCGTGTTTTATGATCATTTTTGCCTTCTATTCGATTATGAATTTGTAAAATGTAGGGATGCATTTAAATTTGTAAATTAAATCTATACAACGTAGGCAACTTAGAGGAAGAGGGGGCCGACCACAAATCACATTAGCTTAGATTATATTCATAACACTGACAAGTGGGTGTTGGAGCTTCTTGAGGACTTTGAGGGAGAAGACTCATGATGGGCAGAAGTTGAGCCGCCAAGAGAAGAAGAGGATGGGATATATGTGCCCCATGCTGATGAGGGAGGATACGATGTTGGTGTTGATTATTATAATGTTGGTGTCGATTACAGTGATAGTGTTTTTGGATCCCAATGATGACACTGATTAGATTAAAATGAGGATTTAATACTGTCTCTATGTGCTTTTTTTTTTTTGTTTTTTGACAATGTACATTTGGACTATATATGGAGTTATGGACCTCATGAACGTTATTATTTGTATCTTGATGGTTTTTATTTATAGTGCGTGAGTGCTTTTGTGATCTCTATGGTTCTATATTCGTTTACATCTGTATTTGATCACTGTATTGGCAATTTTTCATTTGGTGTAAAACAGAAAATGATAGATATTCACATATTTATCATTTCATGTTTGTTTGGAACGTAAAATGATGAATACCAAAGCTCTAACTTAGCTCTTTGTGATTATGGTTTGTCAATGGTAATAGTTTGAACATATAAGTAGTAACAAATTTATTTATTAGTAATTTTTTTTCTAAATTTTTATAAACTTATAAAAAAGATATATTTTTTTTTAAAAACCCAAAGTCTTCCCCCGAAGCACCGAATTGCTTCATTGTTAGACCAAACTGAAGCGGACTTTGAAGCGAATCTGACAACATTGCTTTTGATATGTTAGAACAAGCCGAAGTTTTCAAACTCTTGGGGTTTATTCATGGTATGCATGTGAAATTTGCAATGCTTCTATGCTGCAAGTGTATTTTATTCTTTGACCTCTTTGTTGAATTGTTGCATGCTTTGGGGCTTTACATAACCTGATGTTAATCCATAATATATTGGTTTGAAAGTTTCAAAATATCACAATCTGGTCTTCCACCAAAACTAAAACTACAGTTCTTAAACATGAAGGCATTCTTATGTTGCAGGTTTGCAAAGAGAAAGCTTGACGAGCATGTTTTCTTTGGGAACCGATTACAAGTTTTCTATGCTCCCCAGTATGAGAGCCTTTCTGACACAAAGGAGAAGTTGGAAGTAAGGCGAAAGGAAGTTTTGAGCAGATTAAATTGTGGGTTTTTTTTTTGTAAATTCATTCTTAGTGTAAGCTTGTTCCATTTGTAACTTGAATTAGTAATGACTGGCACATGCATTGCACTGGTGTGTCTTTGCTCTGATGTGGGGGGTTAGCCATTGTACCAGTCTAGCACACCCTTGTATGTGGGTTTGTGTTCTCTTTAAGCATAATCAGCATTACCATGCATTCTTAGTGTAAGCTTGTTCCATTTTAAACTAAATGAGTTAGTAATGACTGGCACATGCATTGCACTGGCTGATGCGGGGGGATGGGCATTTTACTAGTCTAGCATGCCCCACTGTATGTGGGTTTGTGTTCTCCATCTTTATGGAGGCCTAGTTTCAAACTGCACAATCCATTTGGAAAAGTAAGGATAACCTTTACACTATCAGATTTGCACATAGGACATACATATTGTACTTCATTGAACCTAATTTGCAATTGTACCCTAATTTGCAGCTGGACAGCCTAAAATGCCAAAATCACAGGGTTCAAAAAGCAGGTGTAATCCAGATATATTTGTTGGACCTTTACTGGCTCCTTCTCATTCACAGACAAGCTTTGTTCTCCCACAGATTGCCTCTTATGATGGGTAAACTTTGTCTTAAGCATTCTATATGTTTCTTATAATGTATTGAGAAATGTATGGACGGGAAATGCTGGAAATTATGTGACATCCAAGTTTTGGTATCTAAAAACAATATACTTTTCCCGTACCACAGTGTTTCTGTGGAGTCAGCACGAGAAGAAGGCTTAGAAGATTCTCCAGTCAGAAGGCTGCCATCGCAAGAGGTATTTCTTAGATCTTGGTACAGATTATGTGGCATGTGATTTTATATTATTATGGTAATTACTGAAATTTCCATGAAAATGTAAATGGAAGCTCTTTTTTTGTTGCATAATTGTTGATTTCTATTTTCTGGTTTCCATCATATATCGGGAACCAGCCGGGTCACCCTTTGAACTGGCTGGCTCTCTGACAGAACTGGCCGGTTCGGTTCTGTTAGATAAGAATGTGCCGGTTCAAGGGGTGGCCCAGCCAACCGGCCTCCTACTCATTTTGACCCTCGTTTTTTTTTTATTTGCAAACTTTTCATACGTGCAATTTTAAATTTTTAAACAAAGGGGCAGTGACACAAACTTTTTGTATGAGCAATTTTAATTTTTTTTAACTAAGGTATAGTGGCCCACCCCAATAAAATTGCTTTTTCATCATAGTACTTCACCAAATAAACATTCGTGGGCCCACCCATGCGAGTTGAAAAGCTCTTTGCATCTCGTGTTAGCCCATCCTATTATACAACGTTTATGAAATCCCCAATGTGGGACAAATTGAGCCCATAGCCCAATCTTTTATTCAACTAAGTTTTTGGTCTTTATACAAGCTTTTTTAAACAGATGGAAAATGAGCACATTCTCTCTCTCTCACTCAATTTGAGCCCATAGCTTAGTTGGCTCTCTCTCTCTCTCTCTCTAACTTTTGCAAAAAATTTGTATGTGCAATTTTAAAGTACAACTTAAGTATACTTTAAAGACTTTGGTTCATGTGTTCCTCATTAATTTCACATTTTTAAAAGAAGCCAACAAATGTTTCCATTATGTACATAACAATCACGATATTATAACCCATCATTACATTATTTTCTTTCTATTCAAATCAAAAGGTCAGAAGCTATTGTATAATACCGTTTTCTTTTTTACTATAAAATTTTAGTTAGCGAGATCCATTTTATTACAATGAGTTGCATGTTAAATCTTATTTTGATCATAAAAATGGATAACCAACACTCAGATATGAGACTGGTTCTCAGTATTTATGTATTTTTACTAAAATAAGGAAAAATTATAATGCAATACCATTATTTTTTTTGGCTAAAAAGCTAGATTTTAAAAAATTCTAGTGATTTTTTTAAATTTTTTCAATCCCGACTCTTGCTGATTCGGCCGATTTGGATTGTTAATCCACCAATCCGACACAGTTTTTGGGGGGGCCGATCCGGTTCACCGATCTGTTTTTTTTAACCTTTGTTTAAAATAAACAAAAGAGGAACATTTTCCCCCATGGACATAGCTTGTGTTTTGCCAGTTCGTGTATCTTTTTACATGAATCACACTCTGTTTTATGGTTCATTTAATTGTTTGATACCTTTCATAGCTTAATTGAAACTTATCATAATATGACAATATGAAGCATAAGATCCATGTTGCAAGAAGAGAACATTATTAAATGAGATTTTTTTGTTTTGTTTTTTGCCCTCATATCATCAAGTGCCATGCACACACACAATAAAATGGATATGCTGAGTCTAAATCAATGTTAGCATGCCTTCCCCATGAGCTTACTGGCTGCTGGTTTAGACCTTTTTTTCGGTGTTTAACCTTTGTTTCCTATGACCGGTTCAACTAATTGGATCGCTGGTCATAGTTTGGACGGGACTGCATGCTGATTTAATTTCGTGTCTTCGACTAATAACATTGGTGTAAATAGGTTCATCTAGCTTAAACTTAGCTTAACCCTTTCCCCAAATCTCTATGAATTATCTTGGTAATATTCAGTCCAGTTTTCTAGGATTTTAATTATTTAGAAATAAAACATGAAAAGAATCATACTTTGTGTTTTAGGGTGTTCTTTCTGTTCTGCAGTCGGCAGAATTTGGAAAATGATGGGCCGCCTAACATGTATTCATCTTTTGTTCTTTGAATGTGCTGCTTAAAGGATATGTTACTCTTTTTGTGTCTCTGTGATCATAGTTGCTGGAATCTCTCTCCCTAGGTGGTGATTCTGCCTCAGAATCCCGAGTCCGCGATTCTGTCAAGGAATCTTCATGGAACCCATTTCCTTGAAGTCAGGAATATCGATTCCAGATTTTAGGAATCTTGATTCAACTTTTTCTGAATATCGATTCCAATATTGAATCTCGATTCCGCATTTGTTGAATCTCGATTCCACATTTTCTGAATCTTGATATGATTTTTATGGAATCCAGATTCCTCAACATTATTTTTATTACATGTAATTTTTTAGTCTTCTAATCTTGAAATATCTCACCCTCTGTCCATGACTTGGCTTGTGAAGTTTAAGCATTTAGCACTTGGTCCACTGATGCTACAGCACAATGTGAATGTTAACAAAACATATTATTTTGTTTTCTCTTTCATTAAATGTACTTTCATTTCATCATGTCAATTAAAGGGTATATCTTGAAAGTAAGGTTAGGGGTAGAACTTGGTAGCTATTTTTTAAAGATAACTAGGAAAGAGATTTGGATTCGATACGGATTACACTTCTTGGCTATTTTTTTATGGATAATTGAAGAAAGAGATTTGGTTTGATTCAGATTACAACACAGAGCAACACAATGGCAAAAAAAATTCCCATATTGAACTATAAATATGAAATCAATAGTTTCAAGTGTACTTGAGATTATATCTTATGTTTTGTAAACACCATCACAAATTCCCTAGTGGACTATGGGTGTCTGATAATTGTACTTAACCCAAATCTAGTATTACGACCACCCAACTTTAATTCTGAAACTGTGATTAAGGCTGAATATAATGATTGCAATACTAGGGGAACACTTGTTCAGGTCTTTATGACCTTTGAGGATCTCAATTCTAGTACTAGGGGAACCATGGCTAAGCATACTTAATACATCGATTCCGATACTCATTTCTTCAAAAAAAAAAATTACGAATGGATTCTTGCATATTATTACTCTAGAACTTTGAACCTTTTGTCCTATGAAACAAATTTCTTATGATTTCTAATGCGTTTCTAAGTTGTTGGGTGTGTTATCCCATAGATGTAGGAATCTCGATTCCAATTAGATTTCTATCCCATAGATGCAGGAATTTCAATTCCACTTGGCTTAAAACTCAATTCCAAACTGGTGTTAATCTTGATTCTAATTAGTCTAAAACTCGAGTTCAAAGAGGTAGGAATCTCGATTCTATTTGGATTGAAACTCAATTTCAAAGAGGTCGAACCTCGATTAAAATAGGTAGGAATCTCGTTTCCTGCAATTCCCAATGTACGGAGAACAATTCCGATAAAAGGAATCGTCTAGCCACCTGTGATTCCATGATTTTGATTCTTAAATCGATTCAGAATCTCCGATGTTTCCAAGAACTATGCTTGTGAAAAATGTTACGATGTTAAAGAGTTCTGCAACATATCACTTATTTGGAGGAGTTTTTTGCTATTATGGTTGTCTCACTTTGTAAGTTACTGTGGAAGTTTTACATAATTATTTGATAAATATTATATTTACAGAGTACCAACCTGTGGATTATATGTTTATATATTTATTATACAGCCATGGGCAAAGCCATGCCAAGAAACCCCAGAATGTATATTACAAGAAATCCCAAAATTCTCTATGAATCATGGGTGTCCTTTCTGTCAACTTTCATTAGTCTCTGTTTTTCTCCTTTTAATCAATAATGTTCTAGCTTTTTCCAAGTTCTTTTTATTTGTAGTGCCATACTTTCTTGAGTGTGATTTTAGGAATTTCCTTCTAAGACACTTCAGTTCTAGTTTTTATTTGGCTGCACTAAGGGTCAAAGCCTTGAACATAACTAGTGTTTGCAGGGGAGAACATTTCCATTATCATGGGAATCCAGTATGTCCTTAAAATTTGATGGCAAAGCTATAGTTTCCACTAGCTATGTCTATTCTGCATTTGGATGTCATGAATTTTCTAAAATCAATAAGAATGTGGTTCTTGATTTTGGATCTTATCAAAAGTGCCTGAATATGTCTATCTTGTTATTGTGAGTGTTCATGTTCCTTTTACTAAATTCTGCATTCCTGGTGATAGACCAATGTATATCATGATCACGAGTATTTCATGATCATATATTAATAATCTGCATACTGGGTGGCTATCAGTGTTGTCCTGACACTCCAGCCTTGTGGCAGCTGTGAAGCATCCACAACTCCAGATGCGGCGTCTAATAATCGTCTAATGAATGTGAATTCTATTATAGGTACCTAAAAACACAGTATTTTATTTTATAAAATAGTAAGGGTATAATGTCGCGTCTTGCCGTATTTGCTTTTTAGGCTGAAGTACTAGAAAACCTTCAAAACACTTGGAAGACACCGACACTGGTGTCAGTTTCATGTAGCACTGGTGGGTCGGCACCTTTGTTTAGCTTTTACGAGGTTCCTCTGTCTTCCCATTCTCTCTTTGTTATCCAAGGGAACATATGTTAACACCATTACGTTCATGTTTTATACTAACCTGGCACACATTAATAGAGTTTATATCTTTGCAACATTAGCACATACTTTGTCGTAATTTTGCAATTCACAGTAGTAAAGGATAAATTTCTCTCACCTGAAATTGACTTACAGCAGATGACAAAGGATAATTAGAGGTTAACATAGTTTCCTTCTGTGGAATTTACTCTCTCTCTCTCTCTCTCTCTCTCTCTCTCTCTCTCTACTACTACTACTACTACTACTACTACGTTACTTACTTACTTACTTACGTTACTTACGTTACTTAACGTTAACTTAACGTTAACGTTACGTTAACGTTAACGTTAACGT